GTTAATGACGCCAATAATTAAAGGTAAGTTGTATGCGGAATGACAAATAATGCACGGCGAATTATAATTATACATAAAAATAAACATAAAAATAAAAATCCCACGTCCACAGATATCGACTGACTTGAGGCATATCCCCCATATATTCCAATCGTGCCCGCCATATTTCCTCGAAGGTTTAGCAAACCTGTAGTGGTTCGAGTGTGTCATCATGGCGGACATGAAGATATTTTGGTCCGCGTTCAAAAAGCCAAAGACACTCCGCTACGGCAAAATTCGAACGTTCAGCCTGACAATAAGGTATGGAGGCTGGGTGTGTCTGGACAGCGCTGCGGTGGAGAGAGAGAGAAGGTCGTATTTATAGCCCGACTGAGGATTTTAGAGAGACGACCGCTACATTTAGCTCTTCATACTTCTCGCAGACACTCTGGCAGGCCAGCTCACGCGAGATCGGCCCCTTCCTCTCCCTTTCCCTTTTTCGCTCTTGGATCTCGATTCCTCAAGACGCGTAATGAATTTGCACCCTGCAATCTCCGTGCTTGTTCCGAGCACCCAGTTCGTCCTCCAACATATTTCTGGATTCGCGGTTGACCTGTTTGGCTTCGACCTGAGATACCCATCTTATCTATATTTAAATCGCACCCACACCCCCTCTGCCCATTTCTTCTGTGGCTTTGTGTCTGGCACTCATAAGTCCTGTATATATTGCATTACACAGGACTGATAATTGCGACAGGTGAATTCGTGATAAGACAAACCGCTCCGCAAAGCAAGGTTGCCTACTTAAAAGAGCAAGGTCATGAGTAAAACGAGTTGCCTGCTATACAAAATACAAAATGCCCTGTGCTCTAAATCAGGACAAGCAACTGGTCTGTCTAATCAGGCTAGTCATTCAGCACATCTAAAAATACGCCGCGTTCGCCACGGGCAGCAAAACGTTCGCTCGTTTGAGACAAGAGAATAACAGAAGAATAGCAATGCCCTTAGATGAAGCACTTATCAAGCAAATATTCTGATAAACCGCAACTTTTCAGTGATCAGTACCAACAGAGGATGATCTTTTAACATGAAACGTGGGAGGAAACTTCTCGAAGAAGAATGACCCGCCACGAGACCGCAAAACCCGCTTTCTCATCACGGTAAACCACGAGCTTATCTCGTCCACAGCCACGCTCACTACACCTCAAGGAAAAGGAGTTCCCTGGGACACACTCTGAGGTCCTCCCTCTGCCTTCGCTCCCGAATATCCTGTCGAGGAAGAGGCGAGGAAGGCGGCGCGAGGGCAGCTTGGCGTACCTGGGGCCCCGGAGCAGTTCTAGCGCTGGCGACGGTGGTCTGCCGGGCACTGGCAAAGGCAGGCACCCGGACCCCAGCTCGGCACTCCTCCCTCCTCCCCCTCCTTCCCTCCCTGCCTTCCTCATCCCTTTCTCCCCCTCCCCCTCCTCCCTTTTCACCTCTTGCCCTAAACGCCTCCGCTTCCCCCTTCTCCCCCTTCCCCTTCTCTCTTTACCTTTACACGGGAATCTCGGTGTCACTTTTGGCATGTGAGAATGCGTGCATTTACGATCTCTGAGTGTTTAAGCGTGTTTGCGTACATATGAATGTGTGTGTGTGTGTGTGTGTGTGTGTGTGTGTGTGTGTGTGTGTGTGTGTGTGTGTGTGTGTGTGTGTGTGTGTGTGTGTGTGTGTGTGTGTGTTCAGGATTTGGAAGGGGAGTGGACATGTGAGTATGTTATACTGTATTATTTCACTTCGAACTATTCTATCTTGTAATATGATTGTGACCTGACTTGAACTGAATTGGCGTGTCTTTGCCTTTGCGTCTGCGAATGTAATGTTCATTGTATTTTCTTTTCATTTGCTGACGATAGCAATATCATTCACATAATAAATTCATCCCATTTTAAATTAATTATTTAAATATTCTTTATCATCTAATTCTTTCTTATATTCTAATAAACATGATAATATGAGTAATGATAGTAATGATTATAATGATGATAATAATGATAAAAATAATATTGATAATGATAATGTTATGATGCTAACAATAATAACAATATCAATACTATCAATAATGATGATATTACTACTATTACTACTATTAATAATAATAATAGTGATAATAATAGTAGTGGTAGTTATAATAATAATAATAATAATAATAATAATAATAATAATAATAATGATAATAATAATAATAATATGAAGAAGAAGGAGAACTAGAAAAAGGATGATAATAATAACAATAACAACACCAATAATAATAAAAAATAACAAGCATAATAATAACAATAATGTCAATAATAACAATAAAAGTATTAATACTAAAATGATAATAATAATATTATTATTATCACTATTATTCATTACTATTATGATCATTATCATTATTATAAATGACAATATTAATGATAATCTTAGCAAAAACACACACATGATGATGATGATATTAATGGTGGTGATGATGATAACAATAATGATAATTAAGAAGTGATTGTAATAAGAGTATACTACTACTACTACTACTACTACTACTACTACTAATAATAATAATAATAATAATAATAATAATAACAACAACAACAATAACCATAATAAAAATGAAAATGAAAATAATAATAATAATAATAATAATAATAATAATAATAATAAGAACAACAACAAAAATAATGATAATAATGACAATAATAATGATAATAATGAAAATGATAATGATAATGATAACAACAACAGTAATAGTAACAATAATAAAAAAACAATAACAATAAATACTACTACTAATAATAATGATAATGATAATGATAATAATAATAATAATAATAATAATAATAATAATAATAATAATGATAATCATAATTATTATTATGATCATCATTATCAGTACAATTACTATTATCAACATACTGATCATCATCATTATTATCATTATTACTATCATTATTGCTATATTGTAATAAAGACAACAATAATCATAAAAAAACAACATAACCTATATACATACAGGCACATACACTATACTCATACCTACATACAAAGATGTGTGTGTGTGTGTGTGTGTGTGTGTGTGTGTGTGTGTGTGTGTGTGTGTGTGTGTGTGTGTGTGTGTGTGTGTGTGTGTGTGTGTGTGTGTGTATATTTAGACACACACACAAGATGGGTGCGTACATATGTATGTATATGCATATGTACATGTATATCGATTGTAGATCGATTGAAAGATAGAGGTAGATTGATGGATAAATAAATAGATAGATAGAAAGATTATATATATATATACATATATATATATATATATATATATATATATATATATATATATATATATATATATATATATATATATATATATAAAGAAAGAGAGAGAGAGAGAAAAGGATGGAGGTAGGAGGAAGGAAGAAGGGAGAGAGAAAATGAGGAGGGAAGGGTGGAGAGAGAGAGAGAGAGAGAGAGAGAGAGAGAGAGAGAGAGAGAGAGAGAGAGAGAGAGAGAGAGAGAGAGAGAGAGAGAGAGAGAGAGAGAGAAAGAGAGAGAGAGAGAGAGAGAGAGAGAGAGAGAGAGAGAGAGAGAGAGAGAGAGAGAGAGAGAGAGAGAGAGAGAGAGAGAGAGAGAGAGAATATATATATATATAGAGAGAGAGAGAGAGGGAGAGAAAGAGAAAAAAAAATAAAGAGAAAATACTGACAGACCAAAGAAGAGACCTAAAAAAGCCAAGGCGCCGGTACTTTGACCCTCCCGCGCGGCGACCGAAGCTCCTTGGCGGCCGCTGTTCCCGCGTGCGACCCCAAACCGACGCACGCCAAGGGACCTCCACCTGGCGGGCAAGACACCTCGCATTTGGGTCAGATAAAAAATCGTATTTTCGAGTGTCCTTGTTTCTTTTTTTTTCCTAATTCTTTCTTTCTTTTATTTTCTTTTAGTTGGAGTGTGGGACGAGGCAAAAGGCGAGGGCAAGTATTTTTCGCTCCCCGATGTCCTGCTGGCCGTCGCTTCGGACATGTCTTTGTGCTCGTTATCCTCTGAATCTGAGCGCTGTCCCGCGTCTTTACGATTTTTATTCTAATCTCCCTTTCTTATAGAGAATCCAGGCATTGCAATATGCATCTTTTTTAGTTCGTCATCTCTATTATCTTTAATTGTTTCCTTTGATTTTTCCTTCTATTGTTTTTTTTTTTTGTCTTTGCCATGTTCTGCATTTATTATATTCCATACGACATGATTTTAAATTATTTTTTCCTTCAGGATATCTCTGCAGTTCTCTCCACTCTATTGAACTTGAATACTAATGGTTCTTATCAACAAAATAATTTCTCTCGATCGCAATGATTTCCTAAAACTTAATATAGTCTGAGCTCTAATTTACTAAACGAACAACCGAGCACTAGAAACACATACAAACGCCAGACACATTCATCTCTGGAGTTCAGCTGTGTACCTACTAACGAGGCCCCAAAACAGCTTTCCGTTTACTTAGCTTAACCTACTAACCTCATGAAGCCGCGCTCGGGACATTTCTATTTTCTAAAAAACAATTTCAAGACAATCTAATACTCTCATATCATGATGTTTTTCCTCCTATTTTGTTATAATTTCCGCCATTAAATATATATATATATATATATATATATATATATATATATATATATATATATATATATATATATATATAAAGTATACTTCTGAAGTACTTTCTAACAGTGAATTTGACTGTGAACGCACCGAAAGCGAAAGAAGTAGCACGGAAGAGAGAAACAGAAATAAAAAGAACAAAAGAATAGCACACGGTACGAAGGGACAAATGCCAGGGGAGGCAATAACAAAAAGAGAAAGGGGGAAAGAATTCCCCCCAAAATTATTGTTCGAGTTGAAAATACAGTCCGAGTTATAGAGGAACAGCTGGCCCCGACTGAACCAACCACCGCGGCAAGCACTTCAGGCACGGAGTCAGTCGGAGCTTGGCCGAGCTGACGCCTGGCCACGAACCCTCCCCGGACCGGCAT